TTTAAATTTTGAGCATAATCCATATCAAGCAAAAGATTTATTTATTTCAAAACAGGCAACATTCATCAACTTGGAATTTGACGCAATTGATCTTAAAAATCAAAGCCCTTCAAGAAAAAACTCTTGGCTGGCAGATTACATATTTCCCAAGGTCAGGAAATGATAGAGCTGATAATCTGTCCAAGTCGAGTGTGTATAGATCCAATGATTTATTGTGCATTTATCCTTAACTTCTTAGCACCATGGTGACAAGAAATGGGAGGTCAAGAGGAATTTTGTCCCTTGAACGGTTCTAGGAGAATTAACTAGAGGAACACAAGTTGATAATTATCTGTTTTTGTAAGCAATAGTTCTATATAATGAAATGATCCATTTTAATCTTACAAAAAAAAAATTAAAAGGAGTGTTCTTGAAAGTTAAGATCAAGATAGGTTGATTTGATTTTGCATATAAATTTGGCTGCAACCATGTGTTTCTCAAATATTAAATTTTGGCAAACTCTTTTCAGGCGGAAACTGAAAACAAAACTTATTAATATGGAGACATTGGGGAGACAATTCATCATGCCTCTCATCTAATATCATTGAATCTAATACACCATTTTTTATTTTGTTATTTTTGAAAGGGTTAGAATATTATTGCTGATAAATTGTCACAAGGAGAAGCAAAAAGCAAGGTCCCAGGGGGACTTGCAGAGGTACCAAAAGTCCCCAAGGATGGGGACAGGCTAATACACCGTTTTGATATCTATATGTTAATCTGGATCAAGGTGGAAGTATTTATTATGGTGAATGAATAGCCCCTCACTTCTCATTAGGATGGCATCAATTATTCTTCAAGGCTAATGTTAGGTGCTACCAACAAGTCAAATAAGAAAAAAAAAAAGTAAAAAAGATGTTTGAATTAATTAGTATTAATCAATAGAAAATCTTTCTAATTCAAGTGCTCCATAAAATAGGCCAAATGCTATGTGCTAGTATAAAAAAAACCAAGACGGCCGGCCATGTTTCTGTTCAAGTAATGCCTGATTTCCCAGCAGGAAGTTCCTCTCAATACTCATCGTTATCAGTAAAAATCTTTAGACTTTCCGTTACACTTTTGTAAGAGTCCTGATATCTCAATCCCTGCCGAAAATGGGTAGAGATCTT